ACAGGTTATGACAGATTCAAGGACACGTATACCCTCTCCGTCCTTGTTTCACCTTGTTTCGGGTGCCTCTTGTGAAACTGCAGATTTGCAGGTTGCCCCTAAGACTATGAACCTGTCCTCTCGGATATAAAGTGACATCGTAACTTACACCTGAAAGAATGGGGAGCCAATGTTCACAGAAGTGGAAGCTAATTTCAACTTGCCTGCTCTAGTTTAAACAGGTTAGATCATCCTGCCTATTTCTTTTTCCTCTCCCCACCCAGTCTGGGGGGCGCTCTAAGCCTGCACAAACCCCTCCTCCAAGCTGGTGCTGACATATCTGAAGAACCCAGAGCTACCCCTACAATGAGCAAATCTCAGGAGACCTAGCTCCATCGTCCTATGACCATGGGCAAGCCATTCTTCTCTCTGGGTCCTGGGCCCTTTCTCTGGGAAGAGAGGAGAACGAGTGGCTCTTTTCTCACAGATAAGAAGCGTCTGCAGAAATGCCTGGCAGAGTAGATAGGCGCCCAGTAAATGTTAATTGAATGCAAACTTATAAACTCTATTCCAACCCACTTGACGTATTACATTTCCAGAAAACAGATATTCTTCTTCAAATACAACGTTCATGCGTTAAGAACTAGCTTGGGAATTCATGAAGAACAGAAAAAGGTCAAACATTTCTCTGCATTTCCCACAGCACCTGACCTAGTGCCAGGCACTCAGTAACCCTCCATAAACTGGGCGGGGGGGCGGGGGGTAGAAGGAGTTTGACCTCTTCATGTATTTTCTTTCTCTCTCTCCGTTTGGCAGAGTTTAAAGCAATCAAAGACAAATAAAGAGGCAAAGATTCACTCAGGAATTGGAGACTGTCCACACAGAAAACCTGGTATCTTTCTATAGGACGAAAATAACCCCCCACACACCCAAACATACTTTTTCCTCCTTTTCTTTCTCCTTCTTTTTCTTGAGGTTCCGAAGGCATGACTCAACAGATCAACCATTGAGTCAGGCCCAGAACCCCCAAAGAAGAGTATCAGTGACACTCCAACCTTGGTCACTATGGCAGATCAGCCTTGATGGGCCTTGTACTCTGTTAACAAAAGAAACATTTATCAAGAAACCATTCCCCCGGGCTCCTCTCAACAAAAAGCCAAGGAGCCATTCACCACTTAGCTTTAAGCTAGCCAAATCCAACAAAGCTCCAGAGATTTTGGCTTAATCTTCTCACTGAACGCATGCCAGCCTTGCACGGGCATGGCCAGGGCACCATCGCCCAGCCTTAGGTGTTGGCAGATTCTCCCACCCACTTCTTTGCACTTTCCCTGCTCAGGGCAGTGGCCAAGCCTCTCCTCCCCTCCCACCCACTACACCTGGGACACCTCCAACTCACACAGTTAGGCTGGGGAAGGTGCTTCCTCTACTGGAAGTACAGTCAAGTCCTTTGGCGAGGTAAGCCTACTACTTTCACAGAAGCCAGAAAGTGCCTGCCCAACGGACATGCCAGTTAATCTTGTCAACCATAAAAGTCATAACCAATACATGGGGCGGGAAAAGCTCTGATATGTATGTCTCCATTATCATTAAACTAGGAGAAAGAGGTTTTTTTGTTTTTGTTGTTTTTTTTCCCAAGGTAGTTCTTAGAATACTTGATAATTTCCATTGTATTTAAATAGCTCTCATATTTTTCTTCTCTTCCTTTCCTACTGCTACCATCATTGTCCAGGACCTTATCATCACAAACCGATGTTACTAGTCTTAAAACCTCATTCTTTTCTTTTTTTTTTTAACCTCCATTCTTTTCTTCCTCTAAACCAGTATAAGCCTGAACAAAAGATCTTCTCCAAACACTAACTTCAATGAGTCCTTTAAGAATTCTTATTCAAGAATGCTTAATGACTCCCTGTTGCTTGCAGGATACAATTCGAATTTGGAAATCTGCTACTCGGACTCCTCCATATTCTCTTATACCACCCACGGGAGTTGCAAAAGAACCGGACATCACCTCCAGAGTTCCCAAGACTCCTCCATCATTGCTATATCAAAGGCCAAGCTAAGAGCACAGTGACCGTGAACATTCAGATAGCATTGCCTTTCAGTCTAGGTACAAGCGCCCAGCGTAAACTTTACAACTTTTCTCCTTTCAGAAGAAAGGTTACATCGGGCATTTCTCCTTAGAACGCAGTTCCCTTCTTTGATGTTCCCAAGTGCACCGAGGCTCATGCTAATTATGTTCACACCGAAGTGGCTGGCCGGTTGTTGGATTTCTTCAGAGGACAGTTTATCTGTCCCTGTGAAACACTTCGCACACCCGGCAATGAGCCTCCAGGCACGTGATAGTCAATGAGTGAAATAAGAAGGAACAATAATAAATCAACATCAGAGAAAACGCAAAACACATCCGGGCACTTGTCGGACATTGTGTTCTGGTGGGAGCACCAGATAATGGGGGAAAGAATGTAGATGGGAGAAATCATCACTCTACAGCCTACAAAGCCAGTAGGCCAACATGGGGGAAAGCCAACAAGGGAAACAAACTGCACTGCCTTTAACAGGGGGAAATGCCTAAGGAGGTAGAGAATGCTGAGGAAGAGAAAGCAAGATCCTCAGGAAGGAAATACACACATCTGTTCTCTTGTTCTTCTTCTAGAACACAACACTGAACTATCACATTGCATTTCCATCCATCTACCTCTCCTGCTTAAAGCAAAAAAGACAATCTCTGAGCTTCACAGATGTGAGCTTTTTTAAAAAATGAAACAGTCATAGCTTTTTCCTAAATTCTTATAGAGAACAGCAGTTCACATCTTTACCAGACAGACCCTTCCTTGAAGCCCCTTTCATGAAGCCTTCCCCACATCTCTACCCAGTCTTGACCAGGCCCTTCTCTTACTGTGTAAGGTCCTGACATCCTGACCCTTCAGGAAACATGATGAGGTTGACCCCCTTTCCAACTGCAAGGTCAACAACAAGAAACCTTATTTTTCCTTCTCGTGTATCTCTTCTCTGTTACCTTCCCCCGCTCAGTACCCAGCACCCAGCCGGGAAGGGACTTGAGAAATGCCGATACTGTCAGTTAATCTAAATTGAAATGTACTTATTTCTTAATGAAAATGTGAAAATTCCCTCCCTTGCCTTTAGGTATTTCCTTTATCCTTTATTTCCTCCATCCCTTTTCTAACAAATTTCATGCTTCCCAAACAATCCTTTTGTGCAAGCAGGGCGGGGCTAGACTCACTCTGCACGCCCACTCCCCTCACACATACAGAGCTGAGTCTTGGTTTGTGGTTAGTAGAGTTGGCACCCTTTCTTCAACCTTTGAAGATTTTAGGATCTAAACTCAAACCACTGGCTCTATTTCTTTGCAAGATCATCTTGATTCTGTCTCTATGACTCTCCAGGGGCCCTTTCTCATTTATGTCCTAAAATTTTGTGAAGGTTTTCTTGCTTAATCCCTTCACTTCACCCCAGCCCTTAATCCAATGCCCACGTTTTAGGGGTTTTTTTGTTTGTTTTTTTTGGGGGGGGGTTTGTTTTGTTTTGTTTTTACCCCAATAAATCCTCTCCTGGATCATCATCCTTCTTCACAAGCTGGGGATATGTCTCAGTGTTGCTAGCTTATAAGGAAATATGAGCTTCTACACCGGGCATGATTTCTGATGCCACTGTAATTTCCCCATTAAGCCTAGAGCTTATCAGTGTTCTCTCCTACACATTCTGGTCTTTCCTACGCCTTCCCTGTCCTACCTGCCCCCATACCCGCTCCCTGCCCCCAAGAAATGAACTGGTTTACCTAACAGGTTTAGTCTTGCTTTGGCCAGCTTATTGTTTCAATGTGATTATGAAGTCCCCGGGCTTGAAAACACAGTTTGTTAATTTCCAGGCATTCCCCAGGTCTCCCTGTTGAGCCGTGGAGGTGTGCATGTGTGTACCTAGGGTTACCAACACTCCCGCTGTTTGCAGTCATGCTGGTGACTTAAAAGATGGACTCGAGGTTAATATGGGTTACAGGAGAATCATAGTTTTAGAGATATAAGTAATGCCAGACTCCAGTGTGGGGATTTCACAGATTTGAAAACAGAGGCAGAACAAGGTAAAAGGACTTGACCACGGTCATAGAGCTAGTCAAGAGAGCGATTGGGACCACAGCTCAGAGCCGTCTTATCCCAGTCCATCAGAGCCCTTCCACTCACATCTGTCCCTCCTCGAGGACTCGTATATGTGAGTGAGAGCTCCGGACACCCAGATGCATCCAGAGAGCATCACAGACCTACATATATGTACCAGTGAGATGGGGACAACACTGTGCATGTAGCTTACAACAGAGACTACGAGCTGGTAAAATCAGACCAAAACTGCTATCAAGAGGTTAAATTAGAATCCAAAGAGACCACATTCCCCATCCTGCTGATGATGCCCACTCCTCCCTTCCCCACCCCCACCAGTAGCTCATTAAAAAAAAAAAAAAAAAAAAAAGATGGATTTCCAAAAGCACCTTGTTGAGATTTTCATGATTTTCCCCTAGTTCAATCAATACACAGTCATCCCTTAATTCCACGAAAATAGCTTTTCACACATCTATGCACACATTGTCACACACACACGTACAACACTGGCAGCAGGTACTTTTAATTTGCTGGAAAATATTTCTAAGAAGTCAAACAGCTCCAGCCCAATGAGCGTGCCCTCGGATTGGCTAGCCAGACCAGTTGAGGGACCTGATTGGTCCCTGATCCTAAGGACCGATAAGAACGGCTATAAAATCCCTGGGTGCAGCTCTTGGGCCCCCAGTTTGCAAAAGCCAGAGGTGCAAGGAGCCGCCACTGCAGCAGCAGCAGCCAGCAAGCCTCAGCAGCAGCAGAAAAGCGTCAGCAGGAACAGCATCAGCAGCAACAAAAAATCCTCATCAAATCCTCACCTAGGCCCTCAGTGTATCCAGATCCACATCTTCACTCAAGCCGGGAGAGGGAAAGAGGAAAGGGGGGGGGGGGGGAGAGGGGGGGGGGAAAAAAAAAAAAAAAAAAACCCAGCAACTTAGCGGAAACTTCTCAGAGAATGCTCCAAAACTCAGCAGTGCTTCTGGTGCTGGTGATCAGTGCTTCTGCAACCCATGAGGTGGAGCAGAATGATTCTGTGAGCCCCAGGAAATCCCGGGTGGCAGCTCAGAACTCAGGTAAGCGGCAAACCCAGGACCGGTTTCTCCCCCAAAGAGCTGTCCTCATTTGCCTCTCGCTTTTGCAACTGTGTCTGTGACGGCTGATCTTGATAATAAATGTGCTTCATGCCTGATGGCAATAAACTGCCAGTGTAATCCAATAGCCTTAGGAAGTGGAGCTCCTTTGTTTAATAAATTGCATGCAACTAACGAAGAAGCTGGGCGCTCTGCTGAGGGTATTTCATTGCATAAGCCTAGCCTGATTGCCTGAAATCTGGCACGTACCCTCTTGGGGGAGGGGGGGAAAGGGGGCGGGGAAAGGCGTGAATGTTGGCATGCTTCAAAGCGCTCTCTATACTTTCCAGAGGCCGAAGCTGATCTTAAGGTGAGACATGATTTGTCTGATGCCCCCCACCCCTTCCTTCACCCTTTAGACCCCATAACTGGACTTCCTTGCCCCTTCAGAGAGCACACGGGAAGCTCCCTCTGCAGACAGATTTATGGAACCGAAGCCCTCAAGTCTGACAAATCCCGGGCAGATGCAGAGAAAACCCTACACTCCCACCCCTGACACTGCTCCTTCTCTTCCTCCCGGCTTTCTTGTGCTTCATTCAGCTGCCGGTGCAGCCCAGGGTCAGAGGGCGAGTATTTGTGAAACACAGCAGCAGTTTCTTAAAGGGGGAAGGTCTCACTCTGGTTCTGACGCCCAGAGCAGTTAATTGTGTATTATCTTGGCTCTAGAGGACAAGAATCCTTAGGAAGCCGGTACTAACACCTCTGCCTTTTGACTTCACTTGTCCAGCTTCCTCCTCCAACATTGCCAGCCCCTCTCCCCCAACTGTCAGCAGCGATGGGTTCGCAGGTGTCCAGATGCTGCAGACAACGCTCCCCTCCGAAGAGCACAGGTCCCTGCCTAGAGGAGGGCTTTGCTTCACTTCCTTTTGTACTTAGTTGCTATAGAAATGCAGTGATTCACAATTCGAGCTTGCCTAAAACAATAGCAACCCTAATGCATATTAAAACTGCTTAAAGCAAAGTTATAATTTGAACCCGTGGAAATATATAATTAGGGAAATGACTTGTAACATCCCAGAGGCTGCGGGTGGTGGGAGGGGGAGGGGAAGCCTAACCGAACCATGCTTTTGATCTCAGAGGAGAATCCTATGGTATGAAGGCTGCAGATCATTTCTTGCCGAGCTGCTTGCCAGAACACCCCCCTTCTGTAGGAGAGAAATTACTTTTATGGGAGATCTTATCCAAAATGTAGAAAGCCTCATGCAAGTTCTTTGCGGTTTTTCTTCCAGTCTTGCACAAGGGGTGCCTTGGCCTTGTTATTCCACACCTGTGTTTCTCTTTTAAAAAAGAAATGGCTTTTAATATGAGAGAGATTATGCACACCTCTAAGCACTGTCCTGGGTGGGGGTTGGGATCAAACATGAATGGACCAGATCCCTTTCTGCCGTTAGGAAGGTAAGTTAAAAGCCCTCGATGGGAAGGGTCTCCAGATGAACTCCTGGCAAATTCTTCTCTGCCACTTAGGCTAAAATTCCATTCTCATTACTCTGGAGTGCATTTTTCGGAAGCCGAATGGACTCCCTGGCCCTTCCACTTCGTAAACCTGACCGCCAGCCATCGCCTCCTGCCTTCCAGTGCTTTCAGGCTCTGAGGGGATGCCCTTTGATGCTGCAGAGCTCTTCAAGCACCTGCATTCCGCAGACTCTGACCTTACTTCTCCAGCTACCCAAACTGTATGTAATGGTGAGACCAAGAGGGAACACTCACGCCCTCCCTCTCCTTCCACGTGGTCTTGGTCTCCTAAACCAAAGGATCTGTCCACCCCACTCTTCCCACTCCTACCCCCCTCTGAAGGGGGCCCTCCACTGGCGCCATCGCAGACGTCTAAGAGGCGTTCTTCCGACCCCTCGTCCTTGAATCTTGCCACCTCGACCCCTCTGAGTCACCGTCACGTTTGACCCAGATTGGGTGGATTTGTCTCTTTCAGCTGAAGTGGTTCGCTGCCTCAACAGTGCTCTGCAGGTCGGCTGCGGGGCCTTTGCCTGCCTGGAAAACTCCACCTGTGACACAGATGGGATGTATGACATCTGTAAATCCTTCTTGTACAGCGCTGCCAAATTTGACACTCAGGTAATAAGACCTTGACCCGTGCCTCCCGCGGGCTGCTTGTCTTTAACACCGTGTTCGACTTGCTCGGCTTCTCAGCCTCCTCAGCCTAAATTCTCAACTCCAGTGTGCGCACACACACACGCGCGCGTTTTTGGCCAGAAAGTCGGTTCTGTACACGACACTCCCCACCCACTCTAATGCACGAATGTACCGCGCTGAGAGAGGCTGTCTTATAAGGGACAGGTGAGGAGCAGAAAAACCTTTGCCTCTTCAAGAGGAAATAAAAACGTTCTTCGAACAAAGAAGTTCTCTTCACTGTAGGACCTGGCATACCAGTTTGTGGGTTATCAAAGTCTCAATCCCAAGAAGACAAAGCCATTTTATGGCTATTGTTAAGCTGCAGGGTGGTGGATTAGGGCTCATCTCTTTTTCTTCCCTGTCTCATTATTTCTGTGGAGCCCAATTCTGTCGGTAGGCAAAGAGAATGGGGACATTTTTTTTTTATCCTGGTCATGGTGTACAGTTTTCTCACTGCGAGGACATACCGATGGCTACGAGACGCGGCCATGGCAAACCCCCTTAAGTTCCACATTGGTATGCCCTGTCTTCTCTGGCCAGCTCGAGCTAAAGCTTCTCCCTCTATCCCTTGCCTGGCAGGGAAAAGCATTTGTCAAAGAGAGCTTAAAGTGCATCGCCAATGGGGTCACCTCCAAGGTCTTCCTTGCCATTCGGAGGTGCTCCACTTTCCAGAGGATGATTGCTGAGGTGCAAGAGGAATGCTACAGCAAGCTAAACGTGTGCAGCGTCGCCAAGCGGAACCCTGAAGCCATCACCGAGGTCGTCCAGCTCCCCAACCACTTCTCCAATAGGTACAGAATGAGTCCGCTTTTTTGCAATGGGGCAGGGGGAGCCTGAGGGAGGGGGAGGCGGGGCGTTGGCAGAACCAGACATAGAAGGGGGTTAATTGCCACAGTCAGGATCTTATTTTAGCTTGCAGCCTTCCCAGCTTTTGCAGGAAAAAATATGTTTGTGATTGGTTGTGACAGCTTAAGCAGCCTGGATTTTTTTTTTTTTTTTCTCACTATTATAGGAAAAGTCTTTCCATGCAGCTAATAGAAAGCTTCATCTGCATCCTCCCTGGGTACATTTTCCTTGTCAGTTTCTCACCATAAGCAGGAAGGGATTTGGGAAGTTCATGGAAACAAGCTTGTGAGACCTCAAATTTGACTGAAATTATGGCTATGCACCGTACAATTGACCATTATTAAGACCCTGATCAAATGTCATAATGCAGACTTTTAAATCTGCCTGTGTTCTGAGTCGGCCCCAAGCCCAAGCTGGTATTTCAGCAGATGGCCCAGAGTAAGCCATGTCACTTCACTGGGATTCAGATTTCCTTCGTGAAAAGTGAAATGGCTGGACAAGATGACTCCCATGTTCCCTCCTAGGTCTATATTATTCCTTTCTGTAGTCCAAGATTTCCTGGAATGGTGTTCAGGTGAATACTCAGTCACATTCTCATCTCAATATTGTCCCATGACCCAAAGCCACTGAACTAGACACATCTGAGCACCGGGCTCTCTGTGCCGCTGGCTCTCCGTCTTTACCAGCTGGGAGAAGGCTGACATCCTCATTCCATGGCCTACAAGGTTTCCCAGCAAGACCCGGGCGTTCCCATCTGTGATGAAGTTGAGAGAGGTGTCCATAGGCCTGGCATGGAGGCAGGACAAGGACAGTGAGGGCAGGACAAGTTCAGCCTACTATGATGCCTTGCAGCCTAAAACTTGACTCCCAGTCCTGACGCACTAGGATCCTTTGACACTCCAGGCAAATCTGCACAGAATGACAAAGATGAGTCCTACTGCATGTTACCTGGACCACCTGAGGGCTAACACAGACTTCCCTGATTGCTTTCCTAGCCGGGTGCTGCCACCCTTCTTCTGACAGTGGCAACAGCCTACTGCTCCCGGGGCTGACCAGTGATTGAGTCAGGCACGTATATGCAACTGGAGGACGGGAAAAGTAGCTCTTCCTCAGGGAAATGCTAAGGCTCCTGACATTAAAACTTTGTAAAATTTCTGACCCACACTTACCTACACATTAAGTGCTCTTCAGAACCTCATGTCAATTTATAAGTTTGTTGGTTCGGTACTTGGAAGTGACAACGGGTCCTACCTGATTTTCGCAGAACAAGAAAATCAAATCCAACATTTATCTCAAATGACCTATCTCTTGATATTGACCTTGGTCTTAAAATTCTCCTAAGAAGAATCAAGTTACATCTGAAGACTGAAAAAAAAAAAAAAAAAACCAAACCAACAAACAAAAAAAACCCAACCCTGGCTAATTGTTGGAGACTCCCTTCACCATGGGGGGTGGGGGGGAATTTTTAGTAGACAGGGGCTAGGATCAAGTATGTATTTGTGTGACAACTGGGGGGCAGGCGAATGTTGGCAACGCCACTGTGATGAGTTTAGAACTTTAAGGTTCCCGTGACAATTTGTGACTTATAATACAGCATATAATCAATCTGAAGGCATTATGAACCTCTCTGTTTCAACTGAGGTCGTATCTTCCATTATGAAGGGAGAAGTCTTACAGAAAAGACGATATAGATCTGCCCTATGTGATCCTAAGTATCTAAAAAGAGGTCAGTAATAGGAGTTTTGAATCCAGGCCACTATCCCTTTTAAGGAGGGTCTCCTTTTTACCTCTTTGAGCAAATGGTCGCAAGGAGTCTTGTTATCTTCCTTTTCCGTCACAGGGAAATCACACTTATTAGGAAAGTGTGGGAAAGTGGCCATCGCTTGAAGACCAGAATCTTCCATGCAGCTCTTTACTCAAGTATTTCACTCCCACTGGCTAATATTATTCCTGCTCAGAACTGTAGAGATTTCCGGTTCCCTGCTGGGCTTGATTTGCTCTATTTAAGCTCCTCACTCTTCTGAAACATCCTGCTTTCCCAGACTCTGCCCCACCACAGATACACACTAAGTTGTGCCAGTTGGCACAGAACTGTGAAGGGAAGTAGTTACAGGTTCATTCCACCTTCCTGTGACTTATCTAGCATGAGATTTGGCCTGGGAGAATCCAAAAGCCTGTGACTGGACCAGGAGCCAGAACAGGGATGTTTTCCGTGAGAGAAGCGCGCTCGGAAGAGAAGGGCAAGCTGGAGGTGCCCCCGGCTGAATTTGCAAACCGCTCTCTCAACCATGAGGGAGAGCAGGCAAAAATGGATCAGGCAAGCGGAGCAGTGTGAGGCCTGGGAAGAAATCAGACCAATCCAGATCTAGAGTGGGAAAACTGACGAAGCTTCCAGCTCTCTAGGGCATGGATAGGGAACAGGAAACAGAAGAATAATATTGATCAAGGGAAACAAAGGACTATTTATAAACCCTCACACAGAACGTTCCTAAGCAGTATGTGTGTATTTGGGTAGGCATGGCTGAAGCAGTAGCTATGGAGAATATCTGATCGTATTCTTTACCAGGAAAAAAAAAGTCTGTGAGGGAATTTTCAAAGTGGGAAAAAGAAACGTGCTTTAAAAGGTCCTTTCAGGCTGGGTGGTCAGAACACTTAACCTACCGAGTCCCCGCCGCACATCCTGCCATCCCCTGTAAAGGTGAAGGAAAGAACCTCCTTAACTAGTCCTAAGTCTTCCTCCAGAAGATGGTCCTGAAGCAACCCGCCCCATCTTTGTTAAATTAAGAGAGAAAATAGATATCAAATCCCTAGAAACAGAGAATGTCATAGCTGGAGATGATCACAGAGGTTATCTAGACTAAATGCCTCCTTGTGCTGATTTAAAGAACAGAGGCCCAGAGAGGAAAGTGACCCACTAAAGGTCACGCAGCTATTGAATGACAGAGATGGGCCTAGAACACAGGTGGCCTTGAGCCAAGCCATTTGACTTCTACTTCAGAAATGGCGATGAGTAGAACCTATAGGAAATATGCACAATCCAAGCAGACTACAAATAGAAAAAAAAAAAAAAGAATACCAAGGAGAACTGAGTAAATGTGCCCCTTGGTGATCAAAGATTACATCTGTGTACGTTCTCTTCTCAAAGAGAAGGCACATCTTACCAACAGCTACAGTGACATTAACAGTTGGTACAAGATGGTTCTCAATTAAATATGTGACAACTGCCAAGTCAACTTCTGCTGGAGACAGTCTCTTAAATAATCTCACTTGGTGACTTCTAGATAGGAAAGGTCTGTTTCATTTTTAATCTACACAATCCTGGAGGTCGGCGCTCTTCCTATGTATTCCAGCCCTTAATGGAGAGGTGGAGGATTAAACTGTCGCTCGCTCTGGCCAATGAGGCAGACATCAAGGCAGCTGGACAGGCTGACAGGTTTCCCAGACTTGGAGGAGCTGCTAATGGAGCTATGGTCATCTTCTATTCCAACAAGCACTCTTAGCCTGCCATTGCCGGGTTCACAAAGCTCCACGAGAGAAGCTAAGGATAGATTTGGGGAGAGTCACTAGGGTGCTCAGGCTGGCAAGGCCATCATCCAGAAACACCAAGAACAGGTGTTCTATCTGGGCTAGCAGAGAAAGCAATAGGGAAGATAGAAGCTTTCAGACAGGGAGAGCAGGCACTTTGACAAAGTGGGGCCCAAGGGACACATGTGGCCTTAAAGAGGCAAGGCTTAGTTTCGTGACTGGTATTAGACGTCTTCATCCAGGCAAGAACTTTCAACGTTGAGCGAAGGAGAGACCATCTTCTGCAGTTCACCTCGGGGAGCAGGGAGCGGTGTAATCTGTTGTGGACGGTTCTTTCTAGAAGTGGAAGGGTTAACTTCTAAGTTCTAAAGTCCTGGTTGGGGGTCAGGAGGGTGAGAGATCAGAAACCTTATTCTGTAAGATCTAATCACCCTGTGAAATAGACACAGAGATCAAGGGGACCCATGTCCTCGCAAAGCCAAGAGGAAAGAGGTGCCTGGGGATCTATGTGGGTGTGTGGATATCTGAAGCTGTTGGTACAAAGTAGTTTATTCTCAGTTTTTCCAAAACCATTTTTCTCCCCATTTGCCCATCCAAGTGAGATCTGCTTTGACTCATGTGCTTTATAATTCCAAAGGGTTGGAAAATGTGTTTCTGTGCCAGAGAATCCCAATTTTAACAACAGCTGGATATAATCCTCCCTCGTGGGAGGGGTAGGGCCAGGACTGTGTCCGAGACCCAGACAACAGCTCTTTGCTTGTGGCCCCCACCTTCCTTCTGCTCGCTCACGGGAGGGTGACCGCTTTGCCTCATTACCCGTGTTCCACTCTGTTTACCGTACATCCTTGAAAGGACCTCTCTGGGGGGGTAAGTTATTCTGGAAGGATGTTTGATCCTGGGCTCTGTGAGGTGAGTTAAAAATAAACAGGCTTCTTTTCATGGAAGAGCTTGTGGCCCCAGTGACCCGCAGGCTCCTCTGGGGAGAGAGTCTCTCCACATAAATACGTAGGTCACTGTCATCGGGAGAGTCTCTTATTAGTGAACACGGAGCTAATGGGTTTTTACAAGTGCCACCTCAAAATGGAGCAAACACATCCCAACTCAAATTGGAAAATTACCTGAACCGTCCCTCCGATGAGCAGGACAAGTAATGCGTAAGCTGTCGGACAGTCTGTGCCCGAGCCATAACGCTTAGCCATAGCATTCTGTGTGCCTAAAGCACTTGCCCCTTGGATGAAGGTGACTGATACCAAACACAAGGCTTTTGGGTAAAGCTTAAGCACACCCACCTCTAATTTCTCTTCCTGGAATCCTGACTTAGTGAAGAGGATTATTATTTCTCAAACTCCCCATTTCCTTCGTGGCCACAAAATAAATCATCAGATGGACAGTGAGCAGGCAACAGAGCCCTGGGATGTCGGCATATGTGGGTTACAAAGAATAAGGACACAAATCCCGCCTTCAGTAAGTTAACAGTCAAGCAGGGAATGCTAACCAGTTGTCCGTAAAATGCTCAAAAGAGGAAGAGGCCAGCAAAAGCTAGAGCAGTGGGCTTTGGAATTATTGAAGAAGAAACCTCCCAGTCCTTCCATTTCAGGGTCCTCATTGCCTGGCATCTGGCCTTCTGACTACAGTGTCCCTTGGAAGAAAGACTGAGAATGGGTCAATGACCATTAGCAAGGCTAACGGAGTGTACAGCAGGGAAGTTAAATTGAATAGAAAAATGCACTAGACACTGAAGGCAGAAGCCTCCTTTAAAAATAGAAGTTTGATCTAAAACCTTCGTGTGCCCGTACCCCTGCACACACACCACCGAGTAAAAGGCAGATTGCAAAGATCCATCAAAATACCTGCAAATGCACGCGAGTGACTGCTCATCTAACAGTCCCGCCAGGGCTGGGCTCACCTGGTGTATTTAACTAAGTCCTGTTTCTACCACTAACCCTTCGTATGACCTTAGACAAGTCACTGCAGCTCTCCCACCTTCGTCTCTTCTCTATAAAATGAGATGATGCAATGTAGCCACTGAATGATCTCTGTGATCCCCTCCAGCTCTGTGACTGGGGTGTTTCTAGAACTGTTAGACATTCCTGGCAGCCAGTTCTTCTCCAAGTGTGACCTAAGTGTCCTGAGCATTAAACGCATATGCACTCAAACTAAGAAGTCCCTGCACAGAAGTTAGAGGCGAGGGCCATCTTCAGCTGATGACCGGTCCAGATTTGCATGGTCGGGCCGTTTGGGATGGGTGTTGGCTGCGGCCCAGATGAAAGGCCCGGCCTTGCCTTGCCCTCCCTGATGAACTGTGGCATGTGCTCTCCTTCCCCAATGCAGATACTATAACAGGCTTGTCCGAAGCCTCCTGGAATGTGATGAAGACACAGTCAGCACCATCAGAGACAGCCTGATGGAGAAAATTGGGCCCAACATGGCCAGCCTCTTTCACATCCTGCAGACGGATCACTGTGCCCAAACACACCCGCGAGCTGACTTCAACAGGAGGCGCACCAGCGAGCCGCAGAAGCTGAAAGTCCTCCTCCGGAACCTCCGAGGTGAGGCGGCCTCTCCCTCCCACATCAAGCGCACCTCCCATGAGAGCGCGTGAGCAGGGAGAGGCCTTCACAGCCTCTCCAGACTAGCTTCGTTTGAAAGGTGTTCACACACCGACTTGGAGTGTACTGTGCCTGGTTTGATTTTTTTTTTAAGTAGTTCCTATTTTCTATTCCCCTTCCAGAAAATTGCATGAAACGAGGCTTCTGTAATCAATATCCCAACATTCTGCGATGGCAGCATTCCCACAGACAGAACACGTGTGCTCTTTCTGCCCCTCGGCAGGAAAAAGTACCCTCTTTGATCACGTTCCTTCCCCAGGCCCCCCTCAAACTCCTCTCAAACACAAAGCATTCACGTAAGGTCCAGTCGTTGTCATTGGAAGCTGTGGAGCCCTTTTAGGATGGTTGCCCCAGTAGCGTTAGCTGATGAGAAGCGACTTAATTTAAATGCATGTCTTAAATGCCCATAAAGGTGTTCAACGGAATTCGTGTGATGAATCTGTGCTGGCCACGGACGAATATGAATGTCGTGTTTGAATTCTTGATCTCTCATGAGCTAGTGTCTTATGGTCTTGACCCTTCAGTGTGTAATTTCCTTTCCAACACATTTACCAAATGGCTCAAGCCTGGCTCTTCAACCGGGGTGTGAGCCTGCATCTTCTTGCATCTAATGAAAAACAAAAAGCTAACATCTTTATGTACTGTAACTGCTCAGAGCTTTAAAAGTATCTTTAACAATTGTCTTAAAAACCAGAGAATCTTAAGGTCTAACTGTGGAATATAAATAGCTGAAAACTAATGTACTGTACATAAATTCCAGAGGACTCTGCTTAAACAAAGCAGTATATAATAACTTTATTGCATATAGATTTAGTTTTGTAACTTAGCTTTATTTTTCTTTTCCTGGGAATGGAATAACTATCTCACTTCCAGATATCCACATAAATGCTCCTTGTGGCCTTTTTTATAACTAAGGGGGTAGAAGTAGTTTTATTCAACATCAAAACTTAAGATGGGCCTGTATGAGATAGGAAAAACCAACAGGTTTGTCTGAAGGACCCCAGGTAAAATGTTAATCTCCCAGCCCACCTCAACCCAGAGGCTACTCTTGACTTTGATCTCTCCTGAAACGGCTCTGTCACGTCCAACCGAGAGTTACAGGAACCCAAAAGAGCATCCCTTTGGGCTCGGACCACTTACAGTTCGATAAGGCCTTACTCTACCTTGGGAAGTGGCAGTTCCTGATTCGCCCGCCATCTTTCATCAGTGAACCAATGATGGTGTGGAAGACTTTCCCTTAAATCAGTCAGGAACGAGTCAGTCAGCCTTTGGGTCTTCAGTTCCGGGGACTTGGGGCTGAGGTGGTATAAAGAACCCTGGGCTGTCCAGCCTTAATAGACTCCTCTTACATTTTCGTCCTGTAGCACACTGTCTGCCAAAGTAGTCCTGGCAGCTGGGCCATCTCTGTAGGATCACAAAAAAAAAATAAAATAAAATAATAAAAAAAAATAAAAATAAAAAACAAAAAAAAATAAAAAACAAAAACAAAAAAATGGGGGAAAAAAAACGAAAAAAGAAAAAAAAAAAAAAAAGAAAGAAAGAGGGAAACAGAGCTGGTGGTTTGATTATTTCTGCCGTGATGTTTACAAGATGGCAACCACCAAAGCCAAATGATTAACCTATCTATGAACAACAGTAGTTTCTCAGGGTCACTGTCCTTGAACCCAACAGTCCCTTAAGAGTGTCACTGCCCACCAAAGGTCAATGTCGAGGGAGGAGAAGGGGGGAGGGGTAGGACTGCAGGGGCCACTCCAAACTCGCTTAGGTAGAAACTATTGGTGCTTGACTCTCACTAGGTTAAACTCAAGATTTGACCAAACTGAGTGATAGGGATCCTGGTGGGAGGAGGGAGGGCACATCTCCAGAAAAAATGAAAAGCAATACAACTTTACCATAAAGCCTTTAAAAGCAGTAATGTGCTGCTCAAGGACCAACAGCAATCACAGCAGACCCAGCGGCAGCACACGCGCTGCTGCCTTCGTCCCCACACAGCCTCTAAGCGTGCTGACATCAGATTGTTACGAGCATTTTTATACTCAGAACTGTCCCATCCCCAGGTCCCCAAACATACGGACACTGCCTTAGCCTCTTGGAAATCAGGTAGATCATACGCTAAGTTGACCCTCCCCCCTCCCTCCCCTTCCCAGCCCCCCACCCCCAGGCAAGGCTGACTTCTCGAACCAGAAAAGCTATTCAAGTTTGTGTGTCGTGTCCATTTCGCAAACCCACAAAGCCAGGACCCCAATACGACAAGTAGTTCACGAGTATTCCTAGCAAAATTCTCTCTTACTTCAGTCCAGTAGAATCTCTTTTTTTGCTGTGACCTCTTCAAACCGTGGTACCCCCCTTTTTTCCCCCACAATGATACTTCTAAATGTATCTATAATACATATATCTACACATATGGAAAGAAGCAGTTCTCACGATGTTGCTAGTTTTTTGCTTCTCTTTTCCCCATCCCATCTCACTCCCTCCAACTCCCCCCTAAACTTCCAAAGCTTCGTCTTGTGTTTGCTGCACAGAGTGATTCGGGGGCTGACCTAGACCAGTTTGCATGATTCTTCTATTGTGATTTGGTTGCACTTTAGACATTTTTGTGCCATTATATTTGCATTATGTATTTATAATTTAAATGATATTTAGGTTTTTGGCTGAGTACTGGAATAAACAGTGAGCATATCTGGTATATGTCATTATTTATTGTTAAATTACATTTTTAAGCTCCATGTGCATATAAAGGTTATGAAACATATCATGGTAATGACAGATGCAAGTTATTTTATTTGCTTATTTTTATAATTAAAGATGCCATAGCATAATATGAAGCCTTTGGTGAATTCCTTCTAAGATAAAAATAATAATAATAATAATAAAAATAAAGTGTTACATTTTATTGGTTTTTTTTTTTTCTCCCCAATGTCTTTCATTGTTATTCTTTGAAAACTTCTTGAATGAGACTTTCTGAACATGAAGTTAGCGGCGGATCAATTTCTTGAATGTCACAGATTAAGTGCCGATATGCAAACAAAGGTAGTTTAAGTCAACACTTTCCAAATTTCCTTTCAAGACCATTTGGTGGCTCCCGTTAGCCTCACAATAAAATCACAACCCAAACTCCTCACAAAGTTCAAAGAAGCTGTACAGTCGGGACACCACTCGGCTGTCCCGCCTCAGGACTCCCCTTTCCTTCCAAGCAGTGAACCCCATGCTCTAGAAGCAGGAGTTCTGCTAAGGCCTGTGCCCTCTCTCCCTCGCAGGCCTTTACTTCCACTGTTCTCACTTTCTAGCAGACCTTGCCCCCGACCCTGGGCTCAGACCGGAAGCACCCATGTTCAGTCACCGATGTGCTCCCAGCACTGCAAAAGCGCCCAGACGCAGGGTATCCTTGATACTTTAAATTAATGCATGATTTAGAAGGAGTTCAGGAGAGGGGAAAAAAGGCAATCAGTGTGACAAGGGAGGCAGAGGGCTCTGGTGATGAGGACCTGGCTCCGGGGTCGGACTTCTGGGATTTGAGATCTGGCCCGGCCACTTATTAACCACATGATGTCAGCTGACTTCATCTCATGAGGCAGCCATTTCTTTCTCTGTTCAAGAGGATAGTGATAACTATCCATAGGGCTATTCCCAAGAAGATAAAATAAGTGCTTACGTGTCCAGCAAACTGGATTGCTCGCTAAGTGACCCCTATTGTCACCCAGGAGACAGGATGAGGGGATGAGATCAAAAGGAAGAAACATCCCTGCTCGAAAAAACGAGGAGAGGATTCACAACAGAGTGACGTTTATCGGAGTCTCACAGGATGGTTACAAGTGCAATCACAGAAAAGCAGGGAAGGGCTTCAGGGTGTAGTTTTCTCAAGGAGAGTTCTTATATAGTTTTTGTTTCTATTTTAATTAGTGGATTTTCTCTACATTGTAAATTCACATGGGGACCTTTTTCTCAGTATCATTATTTCTGCCTCCAGACTGCATTTTCCCAAGTTCAGAGGGGCCCAGGACAGCTAACAAATATTTAGAACTTGTCACTCTGAGGCCAAAACTGTATTGCACTTGCTTTTCTCTGACCAGGCCCAGGATAAAGAATACATTGAATTCATTCTGGGCCTTCATCCTCAGTCTTCTGTCAACGTCCATGTATACAGAGACTCTGATTACTATCCATTGGTGTTTAAGAACTGAGACCTGAGGGGCGCCTGGGTGGCTCAGTGGGTTAAAGCCTCTGCCTCGGCTCAGGTCATGATCCCAGAGTCCTGGGATAAAGCCCGGCGTAGGGCTCTCTGCTCAGCAGCCTGCTTCCCCCTCTCTCTCTGCCTGCCTCTCTGCCTACTTGTGATCTCTGTCTGTCAAATAAATAAATAAAATCTTTAAAAAAAAAAAAAAAGAAAGAAAGAAAGAACTGAGACCTGAGATTCCCTTAATCCAAGTGCAAACCCAAGTTCCCCGACTATCTCTGTGCCCTTGTGTCTGACGGCTTCACACCTGGGTTTTTTCAGCTATGAAAATCTCCCTATGAAATAGAGATAAGTAGTAGGCCTTACCTCCTAGAGTCATCCATGAGCATTAAATGAGTTATATATAAAGTACTTAAAGTGTCAAGCACATAGCAAGCTCCCCCACAAACACTATTTATTGCTCACACAACAAATGGACTATCACTGTTTACATGCATACTCTCACCATCATTTAGACTCTACACCCACCCTTGACATGAGTCTTGAGGTACCACTTGGGTTTCTTACTCTTTTTCTTTTGTAGATCACTAAACATTACTGTTTAATCAAGATCTTAACCCAAAATGGCAGATTATAATACACGAACATCTGTATCCCATCACCAAGCTTAAGAAACAGAATAGTATAGATAGGATATTCTCTTATGTGGGCCCCCCTGTACCCATTCACACATGAAGAGCCCATGCGGTGCCCAGCTGCCTCGGTCGGCAGAGCAGACGACTCTTGTTCTCGGGATTGTGAGTTCAAGCCCCATGATGGATGTGGAGATTACTTTAAAAAATAAAATCTTTAAAAGGAAAAAAAATTAAAAAAAAAAAAAAAGAAAGAAAAGAGTCCATGACTAAAATGCTTTGAGAAGCCATGGCTTAAAGCAATAGAGTTTCTCCAATCATTGAAGTATACTTAAAATTTTTCTTGAATTCCAAAAAAAAAAAAAATTTTTTTTCTTGAATTCCAATCAGCCTTTTTAAAAATGGAGTTGAAAAGATCATGGAACTGTCTGGAAATTTGTGGAATAAGAGAAAGAACATAGCCAGTTTTCCTCCCAGGGCACCTGCATGAGCACCGAGAGAGCCATAAGCGTCGGTCTTGAAACAGTGTTTCTCCGACTTATGGTGCATACCAGTCACCTGGGAATCTCATTAAGATGATTCAGTCCCGCCGAGTGATGCCCTAGAGCCTGCATTTCTTACATGCTCCCAGGTGACACTGATGTTCCCAGAAGGATGCCTTGAGCGGCAAGTTTCCCAGCTGTCCCAATATACCGGAGTCGTTCCTCAGTCCGAGAAACCTCCACACAGCTGCTACAGGGAAGTCACCAAAGTGCAAGCGGGACCATTTCCCATCCTTGCTTTCACAGCTCCCCATTGCCTAGAGGACAACTGAGCATCGTGACTTCAAACGAAAGCCCCTCAAAATCTGGGCCCCTCTTTTCAACATGCACCCTAGAGTTTCCTACTGCTAACTTCTCATTTTTCCCCCAGAGACACCATTACCTTTTCTGCCTCATCACCTTCACATATTACTTCACATGTATCATTCCCTCTAAGAAATATTCTTCTCCCCGAACTCCTTTGCATCGGCCAAAGCCCGTGTCACCTGGGAAGTCTTCCCCAGCATGGCCAAGCTTGTAGCCAACTGCACTGCAGAGTGCTTGCAAAAGTTATCCTTGTGTTCTGGTGCTTAACACAAAGCAGGCATGAGCTAAGCATCTGTGTCTAGAAGAAGGAAGGAAGGAAGGAAGGAAGGAAGGAAGGAAGGAAGAAAGGAAGGTGCGAAAGAGAGGGAGGAAGGAAGGAAAGGATCCCATTACCCACCAACTAATCTATGACTTTTCCTCCAGTAGAATGCTGAGACTTAGCAGCAATAGTAGGATATGCTAGAGTACACAAGGCACGTTGCCATGGTGAGTAGAGAAATTAATTCCAGGTGCCATTTGGGTATCTTTAAGTCTGCCAGCTTATAACAACATTGTGTAACCCTTCTTTCTTTCCAGCACTAACCCTGATAAAAGTTTACACTTACTGTTACTTTCTCCCAGTAACCTGGGCACCAAAAGATGCGTCAACAAACGTGTTTAGGTATTTGCTAACTTTGTGCAAGGCATCATACTAAAGAACTAGAACACAGGA